TCCATTTATGGGCTGAAGCAGGCTTCGAGGTCTTGGAACATCTGTTTTGACGAGGTTATGGAAACGTGGTGGTGTTTCTAGTGCTGTACGTGGATGATATTCTTCTTATTGGAAACAGTGTGAAGATGTTGTCAGACGTAAAGGTATGGTTATCCAAGCAGTTTGATATGAAGGATTTGGGTGAAGTAGGACATGTTCTCGGAATCAAGGTTATTCGCGACCGAGAGAAGAGAAAGTTGTGCCTAACCCAATCCACATACATAGACACTGTCCTAAAGTGTTTCAACATGCAGGATTCCAAGAAAGGGGATTTGCCCTTTTCGGCATGGAATACCTCTATCTAAGAGGATGTCCCCGAAGACGCCTCAAGAGATAGAGGACATGAAGACAGTTCCTTATGCATCGGCAGTAGGAAGCCTCATGTATGCGATGTTGTGCACGCGACCTGATATTTGTTATGCCGTGGGCATGGTAGCAAGATATCAGAGTAATCCAGGACCGGAACATTGGTCTGCGGTAAAGCATATACTCAAGTACCTTCGTAGGATTAAGGAGTACATGTTAGTTTACCAGACAAATGAGTTGCTTCCGTTGGGTTACACCAATTCTGACTTTCAGGCAGACTGGGACGAAAGCAAGTCAACCTCAGGGTTTGTGTTTACTTTAGGAGGAGGAGCCATAGTATGGAGGAGTGTCAAGCAGAAATGCGTGGCGGACTCAACCATGGAGGCTGAGTATGTAGCAGCCTCAGAGGCAGCAAAAAAAGCTGTCTGGCTCAGGAATTTTCTCCTCGACCTTGACGTGGTGCCGAGTTTGCCCGCTGCAATCACAGTGTTCTGTGATAACAGCGAAGCAGTAGCAAATTCGAAGGAACCACGGACTCATGAAGCGAGTAAATACAAAGAGCGCAAGTACCACCTGATACGAGAAATCGTTGGACGAGGAGAAGTCGTTGTTGCCAAGATACAATCAGAGGACAACCTAGCAGATCCTTTTACAAAGATCCTACTGGCGAAAGTCTTTACGAGACACGTAGAAGGAATGGGATTCAGATGTTAGGGCAACATAAGAGACTAGTCTTTGAGAATTAGATTGAAAGAAATTGTGGTTATTTTTGTTTAGCCATGAGCTTATAAAGCATAAGTGGGAAATTGTTAGAGGTATGCTGTAAAAAGCTATGTTTTGCAGATTCTATCAATTCCATTT